GGTTCTCGTTTGAACCCTTCCCTATATATATATATATATATACACACACACACATATATATATATATACATACTATATATACACACACACACACATATATATATATATATATATATACATATAAAATCCCCAGTGGACTGAGAAGGACTCGAATCGATGACCCCTTGGTAGTAGGACTCCCAAAGCCTTGTTGCCACTTAAGTAACCCTTCAAGATTATGATGAATAATATTTTAAACCATGGAAGTTTAATAATCACCTCATCTATTTGGCTAAAATCAACATATTTTGCCGTGATTCCTATTGAGTATAACGATGATTTTTTCCTTAATTGGTGTAACAAATGTTCAATTCTTTCTATCCCGGACCAATTTTGACCGGTAATTGATAGTTCTTGTAAGTATGAAAATCATACTGTAATTCTTGTCTACGTAGAAAAATATCACATCAAAATTAACAGATGTCACGTAGACTAACAACCCATTTATCAAGTAGAACGAGCACGAATTTGGAAGAATTGAACGTTTGTTACGGTAATTAAGAAAAAAATCTATCGCTACACTAAATGGAAGCTAAATTAAATTTCATTTTGTATCGTATGGCGTTATGAGCTGCTAATTCACTTCCATCCTCGTGCAGGGTTCATGCTTTGCTACGATGGATCGTGGATATATCGTCTTTGTTGCCCGTGGTATATAATTCGTAAGAACACCGATGTTCATTTCATTTCCAAATGGGGTTTTCTGTTTTTGTTTCGGTTTGATAGAGAATTGAAAATGTAGATAAAGTGTATGCTTCCTTACGACCTTGTACTTTCACGTGTGTGGAGTTATAACGATGGTTCTATCGTTATATGTAGATGAACATGTGAACCGAACTTTCTATTTCTTTTATCATTTTAACAATTTTATTTGATGTGTCTTATTTATATAACTAAATAACCTGCTGTTTTTATGGAAACAACCACTCTACTTTTTAAGGATAGATGTTAGGTCTGTTTACATTTCACCCTCCCAAACCCATGAAAGTGGGATATACCGACTTGTTTGGGTTATTTAATCGTAAGAAAAGATCTGAACCATTGAACACTTTCAATTTCATGTTCACCCATAAATTGCGCTATAAAAGAGAATTGATTAATGTTGACACTCAATTAGGATTGATCCAAATGTGGAGATCTCTTCTTACAATAACTTTCATTCTCACTGAAACCCAATTCATTTAACTGGTTTCAACATGTTTTAGAGCATTTGCCATTTATCAACAAAGAACATGCAAGGACTTAGGGGTCACAAATGAGTTGGTTTCACATGTTGATTGGGGCCATCTATTAAGAACATTCTGATGCATATTGATAACAACATTAAAGACATCAAATTTGCAATACCTTTGACCGTTGGTACGACGTGTGCATTACTTGTTCAAAGCATACATACATCACATTATCATCATAAATAACATTAAATTCAATAAATACTAATTTATATAAAACTATTTTCAAGTATTCTTATATATAATTAATTAATAATTAATTTTAAATTAATATTATCTAGCATATAAGTTTTACATAGTATCGTCAATCTGTTCTACCAATTCATATAAAACTATTCAAAGTATCACTCTATGTAAATCAATATAAATCACTTGAGTTTTCGTCTTACTTCATTCATGTTAATGTTTTTTGTAACCGTTTTTCACTTTTCGGCATATATTTGTTTCACATATGAGTTTGTATCATATGTATTCAATTCACAATGTAAAACTTTTTTACGTGTAATTTTTGTTTTCTAAACATGTCAAAAGTGTTTACATTGTGAATCAAGTACATGTGAAACAAATATATGTTAATTAATTTTCTAATCCTAGTCTTAGATGAAAAAAAGCATATGAAATAACACATGATGCACAGTATCTTAAGATTATTACAATTTCATGAGTTCTTAAAGGAGGGTCCCTACACACACACACACACACACACACACACATATATATATATATATATATATATAAAAGTTATGTGATTAATTAAGACATGTTCAAATTATAAAGCTAAGTATCATGAGAAGGTAAATGAAATGTTGTGAATTATTGCGAACAAAGTACATATGAAACAAATATATGTTAATCAATTTTTTAAACTGTAGTTTTAGATGAAAAAAAATCATATGAAATAACACATGACACACAAGTTTTCAAGGTTATCATAATTTCATGAGTTCTCAAAAGAAGATTCTATATATACACACACGGGTAAAGAACAAAGGAGAACCTTGAAAAAAAGAACCGGAGAACCATGAAAAAATGGATGAAAAAATATCAAAATGAATGTCAAATTAAAGATAATAAAATGATCGTTTATTTGGTGTAATTTGTTTCGCTTAAATTTTTGTTGTATTTCACCTATTTTCTATTTAAAAATTTGGGAAAAATATGTTTATTTTTTTTAAAAGATAGTTATAACCAACTTTTTAATCATATATGTTGGATCATCTCAATCTAACGGTTTTGATTGGTTCTTCAATTCTTTATTTTTAAGGGTTCTTCACCGGTAGGAATTGCAACGGGCCGGTTTTTAGGGTCACCGTCCCGGAAACATTAAACCATAACCATCCCTATAACCGTCCCGATCCCCGTCGGGGATCTTCATCGAGTCCCCGCGGTTTCCTCGATCCATGTTGGGGAACCCGTTAAGAATAAAATAACCGTTACCGGTTACCCGTTGATTTTACACGGACCCAAACCCAAATTGTATTGGAGTATTGCAACAGATTTTATTTATAGGAGGAGAATTCACTCACTATACTCTTTCGTTTAACCCTCAGTTGTTGTAATAATTTGTCTTGCAGGTCATCAATCATCAAAGGATAAAGACAAAGAGAAGATGTAATGGAATTATGGAACAAAGTTTTGTTATGACGAATTTTTTTGTTAATCTATCCTATCGGGTTGCTATATGTAAATAGATTTGAATCATTTGTAAATATTGGAACCTGATGTAGCGCTTTCAATAGTTATGCAGTAGGAACTAATTAACTGAATTTTACTCTTTCTCTTAGATCTCTCTCTATATATATAACGTTAACCCGTTAGTACCTCATTTTATTGAGTTAGAAAACTATCGAAAGTATGGCATATATTTATATTCATGATGAATGTTACGTGACACGTTTTTAGAGCTCTCAGTTCTCAATGGAAATGAGTTCCTAATCGAAAGTACGATGGAATTTACAGAAAAAGAGAGATATTTGATTATTAAATGTTTTTAGTAGGTCAAGCTAATTTGTGAATTGTGGTCAAGAAAATAGTGTATACATACAATACATCTCTCCTTTTCATACATCATTTCTCTACTCTTACCCACAAACACACATCTTCATTAACACGCCAATACATATATTGTGTAGATATATATACATATATATATATATAGAGAGAGAGAGAGAGAGAGAGAGAAAAAGATATATATATATATATAGAGAGAGAGAGAGAGGGAGGGAGAGGGAGAGATCGGATGGGAAACTGCTGTCCGAAGCCTGTTAATAATTTTACAAGCACCGGTAAATTCTCAATCCCAGGTGAGACCCATCTTTATGATCACATTCTTTTTAATTCTTCATTGTATTGCTTTTTTCTGCAATTATATGTATATATAATTTCAACAGTCCCCAGAAACCTCAAAAAGAAACCTATGAATACGGAAAAACAACCCATCACGGCGGCAGAAGGTGGTTCTGATCATCATGGTGGCACCGCCACTTCTGAAAAGGCAGTGGTGTCTAGGGGCCAAATAGTAATACCAAAGTTAAAGATGTACACTTTCGCCGAGCTACAGAGCGCCACCAAGAATTTCCGGCCGGCCACCATCTTGGGAGAAGGTGGTTTTGGGCAGGTTTATAAAGGGTGGGTGGATGGTGTGACTTACGCGCCGTCGAAGGCCGGTGTTGGGATTCCCGTCGCCGTAAAGAAATCAGATTCCGACAGCTTTCAAGGCCTTAAAGAATGGCAGGTTTGTCTTCTATCACTTGTTTATTTCTGTCCATTTGGTTAATTTTCTTTAAATTGAATTATTGGCTACGTACGTAAACGTAACAATTGCATGTCACAAGGTGGCATGACGCTTGCATCACTTTTCTTTCTACTTCTACTTTGTGCATCACGGTAGATCATGGGTTGAGTTGATCGGGTTGAGGACATTTGTACAACCCAACTTAATGCTTGCGATTTTGAAAAATCTTAATCCAACCCAATCAAACCCAACCCGTACGAGTTAGTCGGGTTGGTTGGGTTGATACTTTAATATATTAAAATATTTTTCTAACCTTGAATATATTATTTCTCTACTCATAATTTCTTTTTCATCATCAACCATTTGATACAACTTATTCATATTTMTTACGTATATCACATTCAGTTAATTTTCTCAATTTACATATATATGTTCACAGTTACTGAATRAGTTATATAGAGATATGAATAGATTGAAAATATGTGTATATGAAAAACATACATGATAGTGTAATTGTCTAATGTATATACTAATAGAAATTCAACAATTATATTAAATCCAAGAAATAAAAGGATATCCGGTTCATCGGGTTGGGTTGGGTTCAAATAATAGTAACTCAATATCCACTCAATACCTACGGTTTGACAATTTTACAACTCGATTAGACATCGTGTTGCTTTAGGTTGGGTTATTTCGCATTAAATTGTGTTAAATTGGTCGGGTTAGTCGGGTTTTTGAACATCCCTACTAAATAGTAAATACTATCAAATTGTCATATCTTATAACAGAGTTTTTTAAAATAAAAAAAATAGAGATATTGAATAAACTTTTACTTCGATAGATTCTTAAAAAGGTCATTAAAGTCAATTCATGTGTAAATAAATAAAAAATTTACCAAAACTTAAAAGAAAAATAGTTGGTAATTGGTAAGTGATAGTGTCCGTACAAAGGTCATTAAAGTCAATTCATGTGTAAATAAATAAAAAATTTACCAAAACTTAAAAGAAAAATAGTTGGTAATTGGTAAGTGATAGTGTCCGTACAAAGGTCATTAAAGTCAATTCATGTGTAGCAAAAAGTCGAGCTAATTTTCCTTATTTAATTAGGCAACTTGGATGAATATGTTATATTTAAAATCTTCAAAAGTGACATATTTTGAATTTATTTTCTATATATTTTAATACGTGGTTACGTTACTTAAATAGTTTTCTAGACTTCTCGTGTTTCTTACCGATTAAGAGTATATTATGGTTGACTTTTTCTAAAATATTTTTGTATTTATTTACGATATATTAAATAAACATTGCTTATTTTAAGATGTAAATAAAACATCAACAACTATTTTTTAAATATTTAGAAAATATAATTACAATAATGAAAGAAAATGCATTTATATATTAAAATAATTAAAAAAACACTAAAATTGAATATGGGGAAATATAAGACGTCATAACTTTTTTATGATTTTCAACGTATTAATAATATTTTAATTGGTGTAAGGTCAATTGTTGACTTTAAGGTCTTCGTTTAGGGTGGAGAACAAGTATTCATTTTGACACCTTCAAACAATATGAATTAAATATATTTGATTTCTTTAAATGTCAATTGTTGATTCCACGTTGGACATTCGGACTTTTTCAAACGTTATAGTTCAACAACTGATGAAAAATCGTGTGAGAAAAATAGTTAAAATGAGAAATGTAAGAAGAGATCTGAACCCTTGATCATTTTTAATCTAAAACTCATCCATAAATCGTGGTTGACATGGGAATTGATCCGGTGCATCTCATCTACGTGATAATATGTTCAGAGTATTGTTTTTTATAACTTTGGTTTATATATTTTTTATTATATAAATAATCAAGATGTTTAATTAGTATTGATGAAATTGTTGACAGGCTGAAGTGAAGTTCTTGGGGAAATTCAGCCATCCAAATCTTGTAAAGTTGTTGGGATATTGCTGGGAAAATAAGGAGTTTCTTCTTGTTTATGAATACATGCAAAAAGGAAGCTTAGAAAACCATCTCTTTAAAAGTGAGTCTTTATATATATATATATATATATATATATATATATATATATATATATATGGGAGCGATCAAATGCAAACCACTCAATTTGTACAAACCGTGCAAACCGCATTCAACCAATCATAATTTTTCATTTTGTTCATTTTTTTGTAATTATGAGAGGTTGATTAATCATTTTTATTGTGGAG